GTAGCTTCTTAGTGCTGTGCTTTAAAAACCAGCTGCACCACCAGGGAGGGCCCAGTCTGAGTTATTTTTATCCTTTAAATTTTTTTTCTAAATTTTCTACAATGAATATGCATACACTCAGCAAAAACAATATATATATTTAAAAGTTTAGACTCTTTGACCTAGTAATTTCTGTTCTAGCATTCTAAAGAGATAAGAAAGGTAAATAAAGGTCTTGTATACAAAGATATCCATTACAGAATTATTTATAATAGTGAACACAGAAAACAGGTGGTTCAGTATTGTAGATTGTTACATATATAACATATGTGGGCAGTATGACAGATGTTAAGTGTATTTCAAAAGAAAGTTTGAAGACATAGGATGATGTTTTGTGTGGCTGAATGATCAAAGTAGAACCAAACTTGGGTATACTGTAAGATATCAGCTGTCTTTCTAGTTTAATTCAACAATACCATACTCATAAAAGTATACCTTCTAGAAGTCACACTCAAACAGTAGTAGAGGATGATTTAAAAAATTTCTAACCTGGGGGGGCCCTCCCTGGTGGCACAACAGGTTAAAGCACAGCACCATGAAGCTATATCCACAGCCACTGCAGCACGAATTGGATCCCCAGCCACATAGCGCAGCAGACCTCTCCTGTATCCCCACTGCTCCCCTCAGTCCCCACTGCTCCCCTCAGCAATATACTTCAGTCAATCTGCCTGTTCTGCTGCTCACTGAATTCAGTCTCTGATGAATCTGGTCTACACCCCAGTTCTTGTATGCATAAATAAATTAAATATTAAAAAATTTCTAACCTGTTTGGGACTAATATTTTCTTAAAATACACACAATAAAACCTGTTACCAGAAAAATGAAAGAGACCACTATAAACATCTAAATTTAATTTTTTATTATTAGATTAAAAAATAAAATTATTGGAGCTGGTTATAAGTTTCTTTAAAAAAGAGAGATTTATTTATTATTGTGGCTGGTTTCTTTTGATCCTTCCATGTGGTAGTGTGTATTAATGCTTCATCCCTTTTGGTGGCTCAATAATATGCCACTATATGGCAATGTATCACCTTTTATTTATTCATCAGTTGATGGACAGTTGGATTATTTCTACTTTTGGGCCATTAATAAATGATGATGCTTTGAACACATGTATACACATTTCTCTATGGTCACAGGCAAATTTTTGCTGGATCATATGGTAACTGTTTAACATTTTGAGGAACTGCCAAATTTTCTGAGGTGGCTTTACCATTTTATAATTTCTCTAGCAATGTATGAGAGCTGTGATTTCTCCACACCTGTCTGCTTTACTTTAACATTCCTAGTGGAGGTGAATTGATTTGCATTTAGCTAATGACTAATGATGTTGAATATCTTCTCCTGTGTTTATTAGCCATTTATATAGCTTTGGAGAAATGACTATTCAAATTTTCAGTTGGTTTGTCTTTTTGAGTCGAGTCGTAGAGTTCTTTATACAATTTGCAAATATCTTCTATTCTGAGTTGTTAGTTTCATTTTCTTGAAGGTGTCCTTTAAAGCACAAGTTTTAAACTTTGGTGAAGTTTCTTTTCCCCTTCTTTTGTTGCTTGTCTTTTGGTGTCCTAAGAAACAACTGCCTAGTTCATGAACGTTCCTATCTGTTTTCTTCCAGGTTTTATAGTTTTAGTTCTTACTTTATTTTTGGCATAGAACTGGAATATAGACCAGAGGCACAGGGGTGAGAGGATTCACCAGAGACAAAATGGGGAGCAGAAGAGGTGGACTGACTGAACTACACTGCTGAGGGGAGCAGTGGATGAGACAGGAGAGGTCTGCTGTGCCATGTGGGTCACTCCCTAGCCAGTGATCAAACACAGGCCTTAGTGGTGATAGTGTCAAGACTTAACCCCTAGGCCACCAAGAGGTCCCAGTTCTTACTTCTAATGTTTCAATTTTACATATGGTGTGGGGGTAAGGGTTCAAATGAATTCTTTCGTAGGTGGTCTCCATTTACCCCAGCACCATTTGCTGAAAAGACTACTCTTTCACTGAATTACCCCACACTTACATTTTTGAGTAATTCTTGGTAAATTTTGGACAATTGCCAAATTGTCCTCCAAAGAGATAGTATTGGTGTACATTCCCACCCATAGGAGTTAAGCACCTCTGTCTCAGACTGGGCATTGAAGGTCGGCAAAGGACACTGATGAACTAAAGCACATCAGAGACCATCGCTAAGGTGATGGAGGGGGTTGGGCTTGAAATAAAGTGGCAAAGAGTGTGGGCTGAAGGAAGTGGAATTTTTTCTCAAAGAAAGATGCTTGGAGAATATAAACTCGGAATCGATGGGAGCTGAGTTTAAAACTACCTTCTGCCCTTTACCAAGGCTGTGTGGCTTTGGGCATTTTTCCAACCCTCTGAATCTGTTTCATCATCTGTTACACAAAGATGGTGACCGCTTGCTTACCTTTGCAAAGTTGGGGGTCAGTGTATATAGATGGCTGAAATTGTGATGATGGGGGTACCACATGGGATCGTGTGATTATAGGGACGCCACAATGGGACTGTGTTGGAGTCATCTGGTGAATGTGAGATTTTTAATGATGACTGCTCATGTGGAGAGAGCTGGATCCACTGGTATGTTGTCACTGTCACCCAGAGCAAGGCAGGACTTGAAGTCTTTGCTGTGACATGTTAACGGGGGAAGAGGATGTAACTGAGATTGAATGTGACAGCAAGACAGATCCTGAGTGACAGAATGGAATGCAGTGCAGGAGACAGGCTGAGCCAGGCAAACTTGTGGGTGGCTTGGGAGTCCAGGTATCAGGCAGGTGAGTGTCTGCACTGTCCCCTTACCAGGTTCCCTTGCCTGTTTCCTGATAGTGTAACAGGGTGGTCCCTAGGAAAAAGGGAAGTTCCAGGTTCCCTGCCCCACCCAGGGAAGGAAGGAAGGATGGAGAGCCAGAAGGAGACCTGAGGAAGCCACATGGAGCAGCAAGCCTGTGATGAAGCAACCGTGCTTGTTTCCTGACCCTGGACTGGTTAAGGCAGATGCGGGCGAGATACCTGTAGGGAGGTGACTATGGCAGTGTTTATATTGATTTTGATTTTGCTCTTTTCCTCCCAGATTTGTCTGGCCATTTCTGACCCTTTTCCATGGGTCCCGGCCAGAAGGTGCTTTAGTCTTGTGGCAGGCTTTCAGGCCTTGCTTTGGGCCAATCCCTTTTGGGTTGACTTTTGCCCACGAGGGGATGGGTCACTTCAGGTGTTTGATTTAGAAGTTATATTCTTTGTGTTCCGTATTGTATATTCACTGTATTAAAGTCCCTTTTCATTTAAGTTTTATATATGTTTTGTCTTTTTGCGGCAGAGGGTAGAACCCACTTAGAGCAGGTAGGATTTTGGGGCTTCAGGGGTGTCCCTCTCCCCCTGTTCTGGAACAGATTTGAGGTGCCCTATAACAATAGCAGGGAGGGCTATTGGGCTTTCTATACGGAGAGGATCCTAATTAGGACCTGGAATCCTCAACACTGAAGGAGCTGTGCTCAAGCACCTTAGGTGTTGTCACTCACAGCTCAAGGAAGGAACCTGATGGAAATGTGTGCAAAATGGGTGGGGTAGAACTTGGACTGGTTTCTCCTCTGGCTTCAGTACTCAGAATGGCCGATAAAAGCAGAATCGAAACCTAAGCATTCCTTCCTCCTCTCCATCCCCTGAGGGAAGGAAGGGAGGAATAAACTACACATCTCATTAAGCTTTTACGAGCTCAGGCAGGCAGAATGGGCCTACAGGAGGCAGGCACAGGATGGAGAGCAGCAGGAAGGACTCCGGGGCTCTCATGGAAGGTCTGCCCAGGGCTCACATGCCTGCTCTTCGTGAAATGAAATAAGACATTAACAGTTGATGTTGGGGGTGGGGGACCATCCTGGTGGGGCAGTGGGCTAAAGTGCAGCACTATGAAGCTATCCACAGCCACTACAGCACAAGTTCTATCCCTAGCCAGGGGGGTGACCAACATGGAGAAGCAGACCTCTCTTTTCTCACCTGCTGCGCCCCTCAGCAGTGTATTTCAGTAGATCTGCCTGTTCTGCTCCCCACTCTGTCTCTGGTGACTCCTCTCACCTCTACGTCTGGCCTGTACCCCAGTTATTGTATGCATAAAAAAAAATCTTAAAAATAAAAACAATTGATGTAGGGGTAACAGCTGCTTTATTGAAACAAAATCAGGAGGGCAAAAGGGACAGGAAATTGAATAGCTGAGGACAAGAGAGAGCTAAGACTGCTGATCTATCTGAATTGCAGTTGCCTGGAAGAGGCGCTCTCAGGTGTGAGAGTCCTGAGGGTGAAAGAGAAGGGGAAGACTTCTCTTTGTACCACATGAAGCTGAAACAGATCTTAGACATGAGTGGGGATATAATTGCCTCCCATTCCAGGTACTTTTAAGTACAGGAAGAAAAGAGTGGCATGGATATTATTTAAAAGGGAGATGAGAACTCTTTTCTCTGAGTTCAAAAAGGTGAAAATTAAATTTATGACCAACACTACACAGTGCCCAGAGCTCAGGGGTTGGAAAGAGAATAAATACCCCAGTGACCCACATATAAAACAGACCATAAACGAGCAGTGGGATCTGAGGTGAAGGAGGGTCATCCTGACACAGCAGTCACGGAGGACAAAGTACAGCAGTGCGCATTAACAAGCACTGCCCGCCACCTCCTGGGTGTGGACAGGGCTAGGGCACAGCAGAGCAGGAGGGCTTCAGCTGGGCAGCAACGTCACAGCTGATGTAGTGGGGGAGACGGGAGCATGCCTGGCCTGGCTCTGGGAATGCAGAGAAGAAAAGTAGAGGGAAATCAGATAGGGAAATACTGGGGTTGCTATGGGAGGCAGCCGCAGGCGTCAGAGCAGAGCCTTCCTTAGCCCAAGGGCAGGCCCTGGCTTCATATCCAACCATCTGGCCTGCAAACCAGGGGGCTCTGAGGCTTAAAAAAAGCCACACAGTCAGATTCCCCGGCAAGGCTCACCTTAGTCAATTAGAGACCCTGCCTATGGTCAGGTAGACAGACTCCTCCCAGCTGGGGAAGGTATAGCTGCTTCAGCCCTGCCCAGTCCTGAGCTCCAGGTGTCTGAAGGGAAGCTGAGTAGTAAGTTAGTGTCTGGAAAAGCATCCCGTGAGGTAAGAGGGGGTGAGAGGGGCGGCCCCCCACTGCTTCTGTCACTTCCGTAAGAATTTCTTATTGAGGAGGAAGATGAGAAGATTAACATTGACCTTGGCCTTGTTGAAGAGCTTCATGACAGCCACACCCTCATACTGGAGCTGCAGGAGGTCCTAGGATAGAGAAGAGGGTAAGGAAGGGGCCTGAGGGCTCTCACGATACCCAGTGGGCAGCACTCTCCAGCTTGGACTCTTCCTTGCAGTCATCCAGTGGCACCAGCTGCCCCAGTGGGACAGTGAAATCCCATTTCACAGATGGGAAAACCAAGGCCAAGAGTGACTTGACTCAATATCAATTCAAGCACAGTCAGGGCTTGAAGTTAGTTTCCATACTTGAACAGTAAACAGCAGAACAGAACAGAGAGACTTAAGGTCACTGCTTCCCTGAACACTGCTGTGCCAGGCCAGCTTCTTAACCTTTGGCCTCAGAGACTATAAAATAGGGGAAATGTCTCAGAGCTGCCAAGGGTTATATGAGGAGAGATATAAAGTCCCTGATATGTGTCCAAGCTTCAGACAGGAATCCCACTGCCATCACCTGCCCACTCCTGTCTCTGATGCTTGGCAGTGGGGTCTGCGTCAGGGTAGCAGGACAGGTCTGGGATGCACAGACCCTCACCCTTCTCTTCAGAAACAGGCGACACTGATGGTGTGGAACAGAACTGATATCACCCGAGGCCCAGGGAAGTGAGCGGCCTCTGTCACTGGGTGGCACAAGAGCCCAGCAGGCATCTTAGTGCTCACAGGCGTATCCCCTCACCTGATAGTGAAGCTGAAACCGCTCCATGTCCACTCCCAGGAACTTGGCATTTACTTCAAACTTCCCTGCTTCTTCTCCAGGGGTGATATCGAAGACCACATTTCTGAAGCTATAAGGAATAAAATTCAAAATGGGAGCCCACTGTCTTTTCCCAGGGTCGCAGCCTCACTCTCCCACACACTGCTCCTCGTCATGGGCAGGGCAGATGTTGCCCAGAGCTCTCCTCTCTCACTTCAGGGACCACAGTTCTGTTATCCCCCACTTTTCCTTCTCACCACACCACAGCTCCTCAACCTTCCCATGATACTCAGTTGTCCTTCCTCCAGGAAACTTTCCCAGTGTCTTCTGCTGGGTTGTTGGGGACCGCCAGACCATGTCTGTGGCCCTTAACTTTCTGTCTAGAGATGCCATGTCTGTCCCTTGTTCTAACAGCTCCTCAGTCAGGGACTGTGACCCTCTGGCTCTTCTCCCTCGCCCCTCCAAGATCCTCCCCAGATTAGGACACAAGAAGGGCTGGAGTTCTGCCCTCCAAAGACACATACTGAGACGTGGGGAGATCCTCAATTTCTATCAAGACACCCTTCTCCAGGAGCTGTGCAGCGGTGTAATGAAGGGATGGCTGCTTCTTCCGCTTTCCAGTGCTCCTGATTGAAAAAAGGCCCCAGAGAATTCATCTGACAAACTTCAACACGGACACTCTAGTTCTATCTGGCTGGCAGGAAGATTAGACCCTAAGGGAGACAGCTCACTGGTAGGGAGGCACCTGGGCTAGAGCCCAAGACTTGGGAGACCAGAGTTGGCGAGGGCTGTGCTGCGCTGGGGTGAGGCGGCCCTTTCAAAGCTGGCAGAGAGGGCAGAGGTCAAGGGCAGGTCCCAGTGCCTACTTGGAACTGGGGGCCAGGTGGTCCAGGCAGGCCCGGATGTACTGGCTGTAGTAGTCACCCTGCTCCTCAAAGAAGGCAGTCTTGGTGCTCAGGCCCTGGAAAGTGGCTTGCAGCTTCACCAGCTCCGCCTTCCGCCGCTGCCGGTGTCTGCGTTGGTTGCAGATGTCCTGGGGTTGGCGGAGGGGGAAGAGTCTTTCTTGGCAGGAGAGTCTCAGGCCCCAGCTCAGGCCCAAGAACAACTCACTGTTACGATCGTCAGTAAAAGTAGGAAGAAGATATAAAGGCTTTTTTCCCCAAGTAGGATAATCTCAAGGCTTGACTCAAACCCACAAAGGAGGGCTTTGGGATCTCGCTCCCATTGGGGAGTAACTATTGAAGCCTCCTTGTTTTTAGTAACAGTTAGAAGAACATCCCCTTCCTTAATTTTAAGATCTTTCTTCAAAAAACGACCCTTCAGCAGTCTCTTGATCTTCCCCTCGCTGGTGACAAGTTTGGGGGGACACTTAACCAGGGAGAGGCCTGTTCTTGAGGCACCAACACTATGTAGTATGTGGGCACACATATATATTCACTCACCACCACCCCCCATGAAATCCCAGGCACAGGTCAATACCTTGGCCAGTTCATCCACCAGCCTCTGGTAGCCGTCGCCGGCACTGACCAGCCCCAGGCTCTCCAGTCGGCGAAGGTTCCTCAGGACCCGGCGCTGCTTCTCTTCCAGTGGCAAGAGGGAGTGAGCTGTCAGTGAGCGGTGTCGTCGAAGAGGCTCTGGAGTCTGGGCCTCACAGGCTTCGCGTCTGCACATCAGTCGTTTGTGGGCAGCTTCCTGTGGGGCAGATACAGGAGGTCTGGAGGCCGGCCCCAAAGCCAGAGCAGGCCGGGGGCCTGAGCACTTCCTGGTGTTGTCAGGAGGTCCCAGAGCCCAGCTTCCAGCAGGGTGGGGGTGGAATGGGTCGTGAAGAACGTCCAAATGTAACATCAGCATAAAGACCTCATGGCTGGACATGGGGAGGAGAGGCCATGGGAGACCTGAACAGAAGCTGGAGGACTTCAGACACACAGGCTGCAACTTCCCAACCATGGAGTTCTGTGGTGGCGTTGGGGGCATTTCCGGACATGCCTCTGGCCCTCCCTTCCCTCCTCTGGGAAGTCCATGGCTTCACTCCTGTGGCCCAACTTGTCCCTAGACCCCTACCTGGAGACTGCCGTCTCCTCCTCCAGGCCTTTAAGCGGCCTGCCAGCACCAGCCCTTTGGCACTCAGAGGGCACGGAACTCAGGCTGATGGTCTGCAGAGCTCACGGTGGTTCAGTGGTGACTAGGGAGGTAGGCGGAGCGGGCTCTGCAGCCTGCCACGTGCGGGAAGGGCTGCTTTCCTCCCCTGTGTCTCTGAGTCAAGGGCAGGCCTGGGCTCTTCAGAGCTCCCATTACTGGGCAGTCCAGGTGTCTACTTATGGAAGAATGCGGTGGGGTCCCGGAAAGGAATCAGTAGTGCTCACGGGTGAGGTGGGGGGTAAGTAAGGTAGACCCTGGGGCTGGCTGGCTACTTACCTGCTCTCTGGACGCCGAGAGGGACAGGATCTCCTCAATGGAGTCCCCAGGGTGGAACTGCATGATGTCAGCCAACATCTGCTTGGTGCTGCAGGAGGGGTGTGATGGGGGAGAGGTGAGGGGCAGGGAAGGGTCATGACACAGGCTGGCCAGAGAGCTGAGACCTTGTCCCGTCCACATCATGGTTGCCCAGAGCACTGGGGAGGTGAGCAGCGTGTTGAAGAAGCGAAGGTGTTGTAAAAAGTCAGTGGAGAGAGCTGGGCTGGCCAGGCCTGATGGTACACAACTACTGTTGTCGCAAAACAGCTGTGCCCGCATCCCTCTGCCCACATGCCCTCCAAGATGGTCGTCCTTTGAGGGCTTGAGCTGAAGCCCTCTTGCTAGACCTTTGCCAGGTCAGGCGTCCCTCCTCCCGAGCCCCGAACACACAGCGCCGCCTCTCAGGGCGGCCCTTCGAGTGCTCACCCTTAGGTCCACCTGCCCCTGGGCCTTCCACAGCAGGACAAAGCCCCACACCCTGCTCGCTGGTTTACTGGGGGAAGAGATGAGCTCGAGGGTGGCCACTTGGTGATCTTTCTGCACAGATAGGCTGCTCTATCCCTGGGTGTCTCCTCACTCTCGCATGCTGGGGAAGAGCCCCTCCCATCTGACCACTGCTCAGCCAGCACAGGGAACTAGCCTCCCTGCTGCAACTCTGGGCAAGTCACTTACTCTGAGTTTCTTTCCTCAGGGGTAAAGCAGGGACACCAGCACCTACCTATAGTTCTTAAGATTAAATAATAATATAAAAAAGCACTTGGCAAAGAAAAAAGGCATTTATTTGGTTGACAGTACATGATACACAAATGTCCGTCATCAGAAATATACTAACTATCCCTTTGCCTTTAGTCACAACACAAAGCAGAAAGCCGTGGTGGTCAGAACGGCTGAGGGTGCAGCAAAGGGAAGGCCGTAAAGCTTCAGGAGAATGACGGCAGATAAGCGCCCAGGCGGAGGAGTGGCCGTCAGAGCAGGGCCGTCACCCCGGCCTGAGGAGCGACCCAGGTCCTGGGCCCGCGAGACTCTCACTCACCTCAGAAGCAGGCTCTGAGTGTCGGTATCGTTGGCGGCGGCTTCCAGCCCTTCAAACTTGTTGGTGAGTGTCAGCGACACTTCTAGCTTGCTCAGATCCACGCTCCCGTCTGCAGTTACCTTCTCCCCTGAGGCAGGATGAGCATGAGTGAGGCCATGCTATAGCCTCGGCACTGGCGCTGCTCCCCTGCCTCTCCCCCAGGAAGCTCTCCCCAGGCCCCTGGGCCCAGCCCTGTCCCCGAGCCGCGCCCTGGTGGAAGGGCGCTGCCCAAGAGCTTGCCCTTGCCTTCCTGGAGAGTACCTCCTCACCACCCGCCGCCCTGACCCTGAAGACAGGGGCTCGCACCCCTCTGAGCCTGCAGCTCCTGGCTCTCTCCTGTTTGTCCCCTTGCCCGGCTCCCTAAGCCGGCGTCCTCCTGTCCCATGGCTCCCAGGGTCCTCCTTGCCGGAGAACCCTGGTACCTCCATATCCACCTTGCATGGTTTCACTGGCCATTTGTGTGGTGGTGCTAGGTCCCGCTATTTTCTGTCCCTCTCTCCAAGTCAATCTGTGTCCATGACAGGATGGGAATGAGATGCAAAGGGGATGTGTGCAGTGAGCTGACTGGCACAGCCCCAGATTGGACAGACTCGAGAGGACCTGCTCACCTGCCTGTCCGCCCCTCCCCACCAGCACCCCCCAGTACCAAGAATGGCACACACCGAGGAGGTCAGAGACAGCCGGCAGCTCCCCAAGATCCTCCAGGAGCTCATGAAGGGGGTCGCGGTGATCAGGGGCAATCCAGTCCTGGTGCTCCAGCAACAGCTGCAAGAGAAGGAATAAAAGGGGGCACAGGGTTGAGGGTCCTCCAGAGCCATCCCCCCACCCCAGCGCCCCCCAGGTTCAGCCCCTCACCTTGTGCGTGTTGACCAACTCCCCTACAGTGATGTACACCATGGGCTTGGCCACGGCCACCATGTCTGTGTACTCGTCCATCGCAAAGCGCTCCTCGGGCTCTCGCACCTGGCAGGCTCGGCAGATGAACCTCCTGTCTCCAGAGGGAGGTGAATGAGGGGGGTAGGAGCCAGTTGCCCCCTCCCGCTCCTCCCCCTGGTCTATCCAGGGAATACTCAGGCCAACTCCAACTCTCCAGTTTGGGCACTGCCCTCTGGCCTGCCTTACCGCTCTCCCAGAGTCCCCCCTCTTCCTTCCAGGGCCCCCCTTCCAACAGTCTAGTCTCCAGCCCACTAACCACGCTTCGCTTGTCTACCTGTCTCCTCATGGATTCCAGGGAGGAGGAATAGGAAACCACGGGGAGAGGAGAGAGGGTTAGGGACGAATGGGCTGCCGGGATCCAAGACCTGAACTTGAGGTGCGTCTCCTCCAGGTAGTCATTGAGGACCCTCAGGTGCTGGCTCTCCCCAGAGAAGGCCTTTCCAGCCGCAGCATGCTGCAGAAGTTGAGCCACGGCCCCCAAAGCGTGGCGCTGGGGGGCTGCCAGGGCTCCGCCTGCTGCCATGGCCACAATGTCGAAGGCGTCGGGGGCCACCACCGCTGGGTTGAGGAACCGGTAGTACAGGAGGTTTCCTACCACCTGAGGATAGAGGACACTATCCCAGAAGCGCCCTGGGGCCTGCCCTGGCCCCATTCTCCCAGCGTAGAGGTTGGAAGGAACCATCTTGGCCAATCCTGTCATTTTACAGAACATACAGACCCAGAGCAGGCCAGCAACTTGCTCAAGGTCACACAGCAAACTGAACAGGAGCTGGGATTAGAACCCAGGTCTTGATAAGCTGTCTTCCCTGTGCGCTCATGCCTAGTTGCTTTTCCATCTGAAGCCCTGCTGGTAAGCCAGGGTTCATTTAAAGGGTAGAGGCTATTTATTTCATGGATTTCTATAGCATAGGGTTTTCTGTCCTTTCATCTCTGTCTGGGGATTCACTGGCCCCAGCAGGGGACAAGGGAGCTTAGGAGGTCAGGAGAGGGGGACAACACTTGCTTTATAGATGTCGCTCTCTGTGGCATTGGGGAACTTCTCTGTTAACGTTGTCTTCAGCACCTTGGCCACGTATCGCATCCCGTACCTGGGGACACACCGGGCTGTTATGGTCCTGCTCTGGCTATCAGCAGGCCAGAGCTGATAGTGCTTGCTGCCTCCCCTTCCTGGCTCCTAGCCATGCTCCAAGTGCCTCTGGTCTGCCTGAAATCCTGCCTGGTGCCAACATAAGACCAGGCACATCATTTAAGCTTACACACAGCCTTCCAACCTAGCCTGTGAGCCTCTTTGGTTTCCTCTAGTCTCTCCTGGGGAGCACCTCAGATCCCACCTTTACCCCGAAGCACCTTTAGCTTGTGCCTTGGACATCTGACACTCGCCTCAAAACCCTGTGCCTTTGAGAGCCCAGGAGACTGTGAGGCAACCCTGTCTGTCATCACAGACCCCCTTTGAGGGGCCTGGTTAGCGCTGGAGATGGGTACAGGGGAAACAAGGAACTGGGAGCGGAAGCTCCTGTCCTGACTCCACCACTACTAGGCAGAGACCTCCTCTTCAGCCATTCTTTCCCTTTTGTAAGCTTGCTTTCAATCTGGAAAATGGATTGATCACTCTCTGCCTCCTTCCTAGGTTTTGTGAGGAGCAGGTAAAATCACACCCCTTGAAAGTAATGTCTAAGGGTAGAGTGCTCGTCAAACATGCTAGACGTTATTATTGTTGTCATTACTGCTATTTTTATTATCCCTAGTATGGAGTGCTACCTATCCATTTAATTAAATCTGTTCTCAAGCGATTTCTACCTCCTAGGGTACCACAGATAGAAGCTGACAACTCCTTGTGTAATTTCCTTTGTTGGTCCTAGGACAATCCCTTCTGAATCCTAAATGTAAATCTTTAATCCAGTTTTCCAGGTTTGGGGCACTTTGAACTCTGTGGGTCCCTTCTCCAGCATCCCCATCTTGCTCAGCACTGATAAAGCTGGCTGGCTGATCGATGATCCAGATGAGGCCCAAATTATCAATGACTCTTCCATTCATTTGCTTTTCAGAAAACACGAATGACTAAATTTTAGGAAAGGAGACAACTAAAAAGTGCTCTACTGATTTGAAGAGTTTCTGAACTGAAGTGTCCTACTGTTTTTTCCTTTGCTCTCTGACGATACTGCGTCCTAGTCATCACTGGAGGTTCCCTTCTGGCTCCAGTGATGTCCTGACAGGCCACACAGATGTGTGGGCTGTGTTCCAGCTCACAGTCCTAGCAGGGCTTTCAGCCACCCTCTGTCCATCTCCTGGAAGCCCACTAAGCAGCCCTGGCCCCGCTTCCCTCCCTCCTGCCTCACTGGGGAGGGCTGTTACACCTACGGAATTTGGTCTACGGAGGATATGATGGCTGCAAGGAACTTATCCGTTATGGCGAGGAGATTGCGAAGGGAGATGTCCAGCCGTCTCTGGACCTCAGGGTGACTCAAGGCTTGCTCTGGGGTGACATCATAGGGGAGATGGCTGTAACCGGAAAGTGACAAGGTGTCAGCCAGAGAGCCCTCCCTTAGCCTCCCCTCCGGGAGGGTTACCTCTTAAATTCTTCACAACAATGCCTCATTTGTATGTGAAAAGGGCAGTCAGTAAGCTTAGGGGAACCAGGCCAGGATAAGAAAGGACTCAGGGAATGGGAGTGGAGAGAGAGTGGAAGAGGAGTTAGTTGGGGTGCCCACACAAAGGTGGAAGAGGGTAAGAGGGCATGGAGAAACAAGGAAGAATCCTAAGAAACTGGAGGAAACCAGGGTTGCTCCGTGCCCAGTATTTGGTAGTTGGGGTGACAAGTAAGGGGGACCTCGTAGTCCCCCACCTGAAGCCTCATGCCACCCAGAGAAGGGGCCAGTACTCCCTCTTTCAACAGTTTCTCCACTTCCCTAGTTCCTGTGTGCCTGAGTAACTCTCAATCTATTAGGGCCAGCTTATTTCTCCCACTGTCTCATTTGCCTGTTCACCTGTTCAACTGTAAATGTGAATATTCATCTATTCCCCTATCAATAAGGAGTCCATATTTCAACTCTTAGCAAACTTGATATATCATTTGCAAGCAATGACATAGCAATTAAATACATTTGCATATTCATTCTATGTTAAGCACACCAGGTCTGGTTTCATTTATATTAGTTTCATGTTAATTACTAAGGGGGTGAAAAGGCTACCATACATCCTATAGGGTTGGTGCCATATTTGCATAAATCTGCATGCTCATTTATATCCCACCTTCAAAGCACACCAAGTTTCCCCAATGAGATCCAAGACTAAACTGATCAAAGAGAGCTCTCCTTGCCACACCCTCCACCTCACCTGCGCTGTCCAGTCTGGGCCTCAGTCTGGTTGATCCAGCTCTTGTAGAGGTGGACAGGGTCTGTGTGGACGCTGAGCAGCTTGTCTTCCAGCACATCCTGGATAACCTTGCCCAGGATCTCCCGCAGAGCACTCTGTCCCCGCCCATTACGGTAGAATCTCACCACCAGTCTCACCACTGTAGGGTTGCCAGTCACCATGTCCTGGGGCTGATCCACCTTTGACCTGTGAGTCAAAAGGCCATTGAAGCTGGTCTCCTGCCTCTGGAGGACAAATAGTTGCTTTCCTTCTTTGAGATTTTTGGCTCTTCATACCCTGGTGTTGTAACTGGGTGCTCCCTAGGAGAAGGGAAGTTCCAGGTTCCCTGCCCCACCCAGAAGGAAGGGTGGAACTGAGCAGAGAAAAAGGAGAGAGAAGAAGAGAGAAGGAGGGCAGATGGAGAAGGAGACCTAAGGAAGCCACATGGAGCAGCAAACATGTGATGAAGAAACCGGGCTTGTTTCCTGACCCTGGACTGGTTAAGGCAGATGTGG